TTGCTGGAAACTAGAAAACATAATTTGATTATTATGAGGCTAATGACTTCACGGACTGAATTGGTCTTACGGTGAACTTTGATTCCTCTCTATATACATATTAATCCATTCACGGTACGTGTTATCTGCTCTTGCTAGGGCTAATGTTAGCAACGTCCTCAGGTTACAGCCCCGTGAGCTCACCTACTCGCTAGGTTACGCTGGCATAACCTCTCAAGGCTAACAGCTTAGGTAGGAAAAGAAAAGTTAAGTGGTGATAGAAGCCCATAGATAGAAGGTCGCTTTTTGACTTCACTGCGACTGGTGGGAGAACTCTTTTCGCTTTTTTTAGCGTACGGCCCACCTGATGGTGGGTGGTTACCGTCGTTCATGGACGTCAGCAAAGCCAGGGGCAGAGGCAAGCTGCTGCCTACCGCTTAATACACTCCACAAGCCTCGTTTGAAAAAGGACATGTCATAGCGCTCGGGAAACATCGTGGAGGGGAGCTCATTCCAAAGCCGGAAGGTACGTGGCAAAAAAGATCTCTGGAAACGCACTGTGGGTTTCTAGGGCTCTGCTTGAGAGACTGTTAACATCACACGCGTTTCAAAGATGACGTAACATACAAACAAACAAAACATAGGTACCTATTCATCAAGACAATAAAACATGCAAAGCACATTTATAAATAGGTAAGTCAGTTAAGATATTTGAAATTTTATCTGGACTAACTATAAAGTAACCTAGTGTGTTGTTGGGTCGAAGCAATCATTGTTTCCATTTCAAAAGACAAGATATTTGTTTAATTATTTCCATTCGCATTAAGATTTTGGCCTCAGGCTGTCCTATATCTCTCATCTACATCTGCTCATTTAGAAATAATATCTATCTATATATATATATATATAAAAATGAATTGCTGTTCGTTAGTCTCGCTAAAACTCGAGAACTGCTGGACTGATTTGGCTAATTTTGGTCTTAAATTATTTGTGAAAGTCCAGAGAGAAGGTTTAAAAGGTAGATAAATATGAAAAAGCTCGGAATTAAATAAAAATAACAAATTTGTTTTCCCTTTGATGTGTCCCCTTGATGTGTCTTTTATTTGTCGATTGAGACACTACGAAGTCTGCCGGGTCAGCTAGTTTAGGAATAAAAATAAGCATATATAAAAATAGCATACCTTCGAATATGGTCATGATTTTCTCTTAAACGTCAAACGCATTCAGGCTATTTGTAATCGACAGATGTGCGAAATAGTTGGACTAATCTGTGGGCGGAGCGCGGGCCTATCGGAGTGAGAACTATGAAAGAAACACGGGTGGCGTGACATTATGAAATATTACTGTGCTTGTTTTGCCATTGATACTACAATATAAAAAGGAATATAAATGGGAATTAAAAAGGCATCATGTTGTATGGGTGAACGTAGCATACGATTAGGTATTTGCAGCGAAGTCTGATGTTAATTAATTATGGAGGGTGGAGTTAGTTAAGTAACATCTTAGTGTGTTAAAAAATGTCCCCTAAAAAGTACCCAATTAAGGTGGCGCCACAGTATCCAGTGGAAGGACTTTAAAAAAGTTGACCTTCTTTACAAATAATACACTTAAAAAATTTATACTTACTATTTATTATACTAGATCATCTATATATTAATACGTGAAGCAAAAACTTTGTACCCCTTTTTACGAAAATTGCGCGGACGGAGAAGTATAAAATTTCCCACACTTATAGAGAATATAGAGAAGGAGTGCAGAATGTTAATATCTATATATTAATACGTGAAGCAAAAACTTTGTAACCCTTTTTACATAAATTGCGCGGACGGAGGAGTATGAAATTTTACACACTTATAGAGAATATAGAGAAGAAGTGCACAATGCTAATATTTTTTTAAAATAATGCATAATAGATACATTAAATCAATAAAGAAAACATTACATACACTACATACCATGTATTTGACGCACACACGCATGCATACTATTTATTGTCAAACTTTTGTTCTTGACGTCTGTTGTCAAATTGAGAATAGATTAAATATTGTTTGTCTTTGTTAATATTTTTTATAGTGTAGTCTTGGCGAAATTTGTGAATATAGAAGTATAAAATACAATCATAATAGTGTGCAAGCTTACAATTCCAATTAATTATAGTCGAATTTCGACTACTGCGGGACCTCTAGTTTTTTTTAATTACGCATAACAAATCATTAAATCGATAAAGAAAACAATAGGTACACACACTACCATGTATTTGACACAACGCATATACACACACACACATATACTCTGCGTTTATTGTCAAACTTTTGTTATTGTTGAAAGTCTGTGGTCAAACTGAGAATAAATTAATATTTTTGTCTTTAATACTATTTATCTATAGTGTAGTTTTGGCGAATCTGTGATTATGTTAAAAAATTCTAATAGTGTTTGTCAATAGAACCATAATAATGTTCATACTTATAATTTCAATTAATTATAGTCGAATTTCGACTACCGCGGGACTACTAGTATTAATAATTTCACGACACGCCCCTTCAAAAAATACAATTGTAGTCAATAAATCAAAGAACCGTATCTATTAAACTTCACTTCGGGTTTGGTATTCAAGACGAATCCCTTTTCAAATTATTTCTTTGATCGCGTAAAGAGTTGAATCTTGAGATGGACTATTTTGGGGTGAGCGTAGAGAACGAAGTTGGGTCAATTGTTTTATTTTATTAATTTAGTGTTTATGCAGCGTTAAACGTTTTTTTTTTTTTTTTTTTTTTTTTTTTTTTTTTTTATTGCTTGTTTGGATAGACGAGCTCACAGCCCACCTGATGTTAAGTGGTTACTGGAGCCCATAAACATCTACAACGTAAATGCGCCACCCACCTCGAGATATAAGTTCTAAGGTCTCAGTATAGTTACAACGGCTGCCCCACCCTTCGAACCGAAACGCATTACTGCTTCACGGCGGAAATAGGCGGGGTGGTGGTACCTACCCGTGCGGACTCCCAAGAGGTCCTACCACCAGTGATTACGCAATTTATAATTTTGCGGGTTTGATTTTTATTACACGATGTTATTTCTTCACCGTGGAAGTCAATCGAGAACATTTGTTGAGTACGTATTTCATTAGAAAAATTGGTACCCGCCTGCGGGATTCGAACACCGGTGCATCGCGTCATACGAGTGCACCGGACGTCTCATCCTTTAGGCCACGACGACTTCATTACGTGCCATTACGGTGACTTTATAACAATTTAGCGTCTATGTAAGTGCATGAACGTGGGAAAATGAAACAACATCCGGTTCTCGGCTTCTTCTGAAGACTCCACTGAAAGTTTTTAGTAAATAACTACCATTTTAGAGTCTATTTCATCAAATTTTCATTCCAATCGATTAAAATCTCAAATTAATCAACTTCGCCTTATTTCGCTTCATACTATTTTTCATTAGGTAAAACATTTGTATGTATTTAATAATTGAAGTTGTTTATAAACTCGACACTAGCAACAATGGCGTCGCAAGAAGCCAATTTCTATATTTAAAAACAATAAGAATCCTTTTTTTTCTACCTATGTTGATAGCCATGCGAGGCTATATCAACTTTTCCTTGACGTGTAGGTGAGCTCACGGGGCTCAGACCGGGGGTGTTGCTCTAACACTGGCCCTAGCAAGAGCAGTGCTTCGCAGAATTTACCACCGGATCGGCATCGCGACCCACTGAGAAGATGCGGTGAGAAACTCAGTCGGCTGTGTCACTCGTCGAGCCTTTCGTCGCAGGTGACGTATTCGACGAGGACGGTGACCGGTGCTTGTGGTACCTAAAAGCGCCGTTAACGGATCGGGAGGATCCGAAATGACGTGTTTAGGGCGACGTCGACTGTTTACCATTCGGTCTACAGGATCGGGTATGAAGAATCCTAAAAACATGCCCATCGTACATATTTCTGCAATAAGACAATATACCTACGTTCCGGTTACAAAGGTAGGGAGACCGGATATAAGGGGGTGAATATAAATAGTATTAGGTTCGCAGTGAGTGTAGTCCGCTGAGTTTCTCGCCAGATCTTCTCAGTGGGTCGCAATTCCGACCGAAGAACACCGACTGCACGCACGAAAAAGTGTCACGTTCCGTCTGAGCCTGAGCGTGCAAGCGAGAGCGCAGAACAAGCGATAGAGAGGCAAGATCGGCTTAAGCGTTGGTTCGTGACACATTTATCTCTGATCTCCCGTGACGTCAAAGCTTGGAGTTCGAATAGTTTAACTGCTGACGTTATCACGTAAAACTATCGTCCGTAAACCAAATTTACAGACAACCAAAATTTTTTTGTTTTTGTTTTTATCAATGACTAGCCGTACTCGCCCGCTTCGGTGAGCATTTAAAATTAACATTATTATTGATTGTCATTATTATTAGGGAGTCCAACGCTCATATAAATATTAGCCTATCCATTAAGTAAATGTATTTTCTACATGGATACCAAGTTTCAAGTCAATCGGATGCGTGGTTCAGTAGTTATAACGGAACATCCGTAAAAACCACTGTAGATTTAGGTATATATTAGTATAGATTTCTTGTACGAATTCAACTCATTCGTATTAAAAGAAAAAAAAAATGCAGGAGATTTTGGGATTTTAATTTCAAATCATAATCGACGCTTGAAAGGCAAACGTGACTAAGCGACAATGCGTGAACTTTACAGTAGACTAATTTAAAGTTGAAATACCTGAAAACAAAATTTATTTTAACGAATCTAGCTGTAGTAGAATCTAGCTAGTAGCTAGCTGTAGGATTGAAATGATTTTAATAGACCTGGAAATATTTTTTTTTTTTGCGCATTGAATATAGTTATTGCCTATCATTTATGTCTTAGTCATGTTTGCCTTTCAAGCGTCGATATGTTAAATTTAGTTTGACAGGAAACAATTATTATTGATCAACACACTCAGTACGAAATTGAGATAAAAAGATTAGGCAAAATAAAACAAAGCTAATATATCTCTGGTTATTGCTCACGCTGTTTTTTTTTTAAATCTTTTATTAATACAGGAATACGGATACATTTAAATTATATTATTACACACGAATTTTATACAAAAGTTTTATTTTACTTAAATTAACTTACAAAGTACTTATAATTCTCTTATAGCTGTTTATAACTAACATATTTTGTGTTTCAGTTAAAACCGATCGATTTGTTTATAGAGGCACTCTGAGCCCTCAACCGAATCTCAATTCATAGCATTCGGAATTGGGTTTCAACTAAAATCATTTGTAATTATCCTTAAATTAGCTGGGTCGGCCATTTTGATTCGGGTATCTTAAGGCCTGTGCATTAGCCAATCTAGCGGACATAGGGTCATAAATAGCGCTGTGACCGCCAGCCATTATCGATTCTTGCCGGTTATGCGATATATTTAATCGGTTTTCGGCGATTTTTGACGCGCTCAGAAACGCCGATGTTTGGGATTGGTGCAGGTTCCCGGGTAAAGGCTGGGTCCGCTCCAAGCGGTATTGCAAGCCGTTTTGTTTCTCCATCTGATGGTGTTGCGTTCTGACCGCGAAACGGTTCACGTGGACCGGTATTGGCACAACGATTTTCGTGCCGTTAGCGTTTTTACCGGAATGGCTTCCGGACGCCAGACCGGCCTTGACTCGTTTCCATTTGGCGCGGCGATTTTGAAACCATATCTTCACCTGGAATATTAAAGGCTGGTTAAATAGAATTTCGCGTCGTGGAGATAGAGGCGGCTTTAAATATGGTACAGATGAATGAACCTGTTACAATTACTGGTGGTACGAGGTATTGTGAGTCCGCACGGGTAGATACCACCACCCTGCCTGTTTCTGCCGTGAAGCAGTAATGCGTTTCGATTTCAAGGGTGGGGCAGCCGTTATACAGAGACTTTAGAACTCATGTCTCAAGGAGGGTGGCGGCGTTTACTCCTGTAACCACTTAACACCAGGTGGGCTGTGAGCTTGTCCACCCATCAATGAAATAAATAAAAATCATCTCAGCCTATAGCTGTCCACTGGTGATCATAGGCCTCTGCTATCGATCTCCAGTGCGGCCGGTCCGTTGCCACCTGTATCCAACCTAATCCAGCGATTTTCGCTAGGTCGTCTGTTCATCAGGTAGGTGGCTGTCCCACATCGCGCTTCCCATTACGTGGTCTTCCTTATTGTAATTTTCGACTTTTACAACCAATTTACTAAAACCCTAAGATATTTTAGTTCCTTACTGAAACAAAACTTAAAATAGACGGTAGTTGCGATTAAGCCGTTTATTTGGTTTTGATTGAGACCAATGTGGCTTCCGGACGGGCTATTTCTTAGATCGACAGAGTTAAGCTAAACCAGCTCAATCGATTGCGGTTGTCAATTGCACTGTCATAAGCCTCTTTTTTTCCCCTACCTATGCTGATAGCCTTGAAAGGGTATATCAGCGTTACCCTAGCGTGTAGGTGAGCTCTCTGGGCTTAAGCTGGGGATGTTGCTAAGACTGGCCCTAGCAAGAACAGTGCTTTGCAGAATGTACCGCCGGATCGGAAACTCTGAGAAGATTTGGCCAGAAACTCAGTGGGCTATAGACCCCGTGGAACTTCTCCAACGCAGCCGTAGGTATACCGGCACGGCGATAATTACGACAATTTACATGCAAAACGCTCTGTTAGTCCTCACGCTGGCGGGACCACGCCCATTGCGTCCATTATTATTCTGCTTAAGAATTTATCTGTGCTTGTATCACGGTTTACAAAATACGCGTGTCGTAAATTGTATTCGTGAGTGGTTTTCGGGCGTTAACATTTTATTAGCCGTCCATTCTGCGACATCAGACCGAAATCCGGCATAAACTTAAATGGGGCTATTCAAGATAATCATGGAGGTTAATTATTTCTAAACTTCGGAGGTGAAGGTTTACGAGCAATAGCACTCGCGTTGTAGAAGGGTTCGTATCTTTCAGTCGAAGCCACTGAAATTGTTTCCTTAACATCAGTTTGGTAGGAGCTATATTAATTTTTAATATCGAATCCCTTAAGTGCATTTTCGAACCAACGATTCGTAGAACTATTCTGCCTATCACGGGAAACCGGAGACCACGATTGGCCTCCAGTTTTAAATTAAAATTTATCTCAAGCTTGAATGATTTTTTTTTATTGCTTAGATGGGTGGACGAGCTCAGGGCCCACCTGGTGTTGAGTGGTTACCGGAGCCCATAGACATCTATAACGTAAACGCCGCCACCCACCTTGAGACACGAGTTCTAAGGTCTCACTTGTAACTACGGTTGCCCCACCCTTTAAACCGAAACGCATTACTGCTTGACGACAGAAATAGGCAGGGTGGTGGTTACTACCCGTGCGGACTCACAAGACGTCCTACCACCAGTAAGTCACTGCAGATTCCTGTTGAGTGACCTTGGTGGGTGTAGTGATCAACGGTAAGCCTGCAAACGGACCTGCACTTCGCTGAGTTTTAGGGCCGCAGCAATCTGCGACCTCTCCGTAAGGCTGAGGTATTTCTTAGCGTGGAACTCCCTCTCCAGTTCTAGAAGCTGTTCGGAAGTGAAAGCCGTTCTTCTTCTCCGCGCCTTGTTCTCTCGTGGGGTGTCCGTGCTCGAGTCCTCTTGGTCTGGTTCCGAGTCGTTGCCTAGAAGAAAGGAAATACATTAGATTACTGGTGGTAGGACCTTTGGGAGTCCGCACGGGTAGGTACCACCACCCTGCCTATTTCTGCCGTGATGCAGTGATGCGTTTCGATTTGTAGGGTGAAACAGACATTGTACTGTAAGCTCAGAACTCGTGTCTCGAGGTGGCGGCAGTTATAACTTAAGACGAAGTAGGCTCGTTCACCCGTGAAAGATTTAACAAAAAGGGTATCTTGTTCTGATACAAATTTTACCTAATTCAGCTGGTGACTTAATATTTTCATCGGTCCTCGTGTGACCTGGTCATAATTAAAATTAATCTTACGATTAAATCTCGCATTTATTATTATTTTATAATATTTCCGAAATTTCGAAGCTGTTGTAATTATACTGGGATCTTAGAACTCATCTCAAGGTGGGTGGCGGCATTTACGTCGTAGATGTCTATGAGCTACGGTAACCACTTAACATCAGATAGGCCGTGAGTTCGTCCACCCATCTAAGCAATAAAAAAAAGGAAGAAAGGATTTTAAATATTATTTCCTATCAGATGTTTCCACGATAATGCCTTTGTTAAATTCAATTTAGATATGCCAACACAAGAATTACGCATATATTTGGTGAAGCAGTTTATATCTATAGATTTTGTTATGAGAAAAATCGTCTTAATTCGCTTGGACCAATCCTCAAGTGAGATAGCTTCAATTAGATATAGTCTTGAATTATAATTAATTGTATTTACTTCTGTTTCCACGAGTCGTAGTCGTAACTAAATCTACTATTACAGGTTAGTTTGATATTTTTATCCGTCAATATTATAATATTTCCGACATTTTGAATCCTTTAGAGTTTTACAGTAATTAAATAAATAAGTAATTAGTATTATATTATTATTTATTACGTAGTTTTGTTAATGAGTTAACAGAGCCCATAGATATTATAATGTGAATTCTACCGTCGATCTTTAGACTTGAGATCGAAAATTTGTATTTAGTTTTAGTCTGTGGCGGTTAGCTATCATACAACGCAAGATGTTTGACAGATGCCTGAATCTCGCTTACGACATTTTCAAGATTAGCTTGCATATCGATGCTTGAAAGGCAAACGTGACTAAGCGACAATAGCTGCTTTATACATAAATGATAGGCAATAACCATATTCGATGGGCAAAAAATATATATTTCTAGGTCTATTAAAATCATTTCAATCCTACAGCTAGATTCGTTAAAATATAATTATTTTCAGGTATTTCAACTTTAAATTAGTCTACTGTAAAGTTCACGCATTGTCGCTTAGTCACGATTGCCTTTCGAGCGTCGATATAGGTACATATACAAGTTCCGAACAACAACATTCGGACCGTCGGTCGACCGAGCAATATCACCTGTTCGGTGGAAGGTCTTTCCTTTCGTCGTCTATTCCCACAATCTCAAGCTATCCAAAGGGAACACTTCCGGTCACCGTCCTCTTCCAACTTCTCGTCGTAATTGAAGAGTTACGAGCGAACTAACCCACAAACACAGTCCACTGAGTTTCTCGCCGGATCTTCTCAGTGGGTCGCGTTTCTGATCCGGTGGTAGATTCTGCGAAGCACGGCTCTTGCTAGGGCCAGTGTTAGCAAATTCTCTCAGGTTGAGCCCGTGAGCTCACCCACCCGTCCGGGCGTAGCTGAAATAGCCCCTTACGCTACCAGCTAAGGAGGGGAAAAAAAGGCAACACGTTTTGTCACTTACTTGACAAAACTACTGGTCAAATTGAGGGATGTCGAAACTACATAATTTTGCGGTCTAAGTAATCAAATTTACTACAAAAGTTAGAGGTTTGCAGAAAAATATATTTTTCCAGACAAAAACATTTACAAAAAAATTATCTATACATATAAAAATGAATTGCTGTTCGTTAGTCTCGCTAAAATTCGAGAACGGCTGGACCAATTCGGCTAATTTTGGTCTTGAATTATTTGTAGGAGTCCAGAATAGGTTTAAAAGGTAGATAAATAAGAAAATGCACGGAATTAAATAAAAATAGCTATTTTTTCCTTTGATGTATTCCCCGTCGGACGGATTCCTTTTGTTTGTTTTAAGTTTATTTTATACAAAAGTTTGGCTCTTTTATTTATCTATTGAGACACTACAAAGTCTGCCGGGTCAGCTAGTACTTAGTAAAAGACAGCTTCACTTTTAAATGATGTCATGGGAATGGAATGTTACAAGAATAAAGATAAATTATGCCAAATATTGATTATATGTTTTGACAAAGAATTCTATTATCCAAACCATTTTCTGCTTCAAACATGCGTCGCGGGTCGCATGGAAACAAGCCAAGGGCCGTTGTCTGGACATCTCTGATGTAGCAGAAGAGATGGACAACTGAATGTATTTTAAGGATATATTTTTTATTGCTTAGATAGGTGGATGAGCTCACAGCCCACTTGGTGTTAAGTGGTTACTGAAGCCCATAGACATCTACGACGTAAATGCGCCACCCACCTTGAGATATAAGTTCTAAGGTCTCAAGTATAGTTACAACGGCTGCCACCCTTCAAACCGAAACGCATTACTGCTTTACGGCAGAAATAGGCGGGGTGGTGGTACCTACCCGTGCGGACTCATAAGTGGTCCTACCACCAGTAATTACGCAAATTATAATTTTGTGGGTTTGATTTTTATTACACGATGATATTCCTTCACCGTGGAAGTTAATCGTGAACATTTGTTAAGTACGTATTTCATTAGGAAAATTGGTACCCGCCTGCGGGATTCGAACACCGGTGCATCGCTTCAACACGAATGCACTGGACGTCTTATCTTTTAGGCCACGACGACTTCAACGACAATATCTTCAGGTAAATGTTTTTGGGGTATCATTGGCTAAGTGAACCTTTGCAGCGAAATCTAGCAGATATTCCGTTAACACAATCAGAATAAGGAATACACGCCATTTGATAATTTCCAAAAACCAAACCCTGAGCAGTCGGATGGATAGTGTAACGCTATAGCCGCGGGTCAAATGGCCGATAAAAAGAGATGGCCGCCGCATCAGCGCCACGCCTTCGTTCTGTTCGCTAATTTAATGATTCGACGCTTTTTTTTTAGGCCATCCGTAAAAGCTTAGGGGAAAGAACTTTTATGATTTCTACGGGAAAGTTTTGCTGGTCGTTTTTTTTTTTTGAGATTTAATGTAATCTTTGTTCGGCGTTCGGGATGGGTTTTTTTTCCTACCTATGCTGATAGCCTTGAGAGGCTATATGAGTCGTCTATTATCAAAGGTGGCAATCTGTGCATTTGGACAAAAAAAAATTATTGTTATGTCAATACAGATTGATTTGAATATACAGTCAAACCTGGATAAGCGAGAGTTCAAGGGAGCACTATCTCATTCTCGCTTATAGAGGTTTCTCACTAACCCGAGTTTCTCACTAATGCACCCTCTGAATTTCATTTCGCGATTTTCCGGATTCAAACGCATTCACTATTTTAAGTTTATCACTTAATGGTTTTGACATGATGCAGAACAGAACTTTCCTTCGCAATTAATTAACGATAAACTGAGTAAGTCCGACAAACAGGACGGTACACAGGCACACGTGTCCATTCGAAAAGAATGCGATAAAATAATAACGTTATTTAGTTCCATTAAATAGAATAGTTTCAATATTGACGAGAAAACAATACAAAAACAATGGTAGGAAGTTCCACGAAAGTTAAGAATGAGTCATAAAATAGCAGATGTTAAATTTGTAATTTGTTTTGTCATTTGTTCCTCCTAAATAATATAAATAAATAAAGTTCTACTGTCGCTTATAGAGGTATAGATACGTAGCAGTCTCACTTACGGAGGTCCCTGAGGGAAAAACAACTCTCGCTTACAGAGGTTTCTGTTTCTCGCTAATAGAGGTTTTGGGAGCTTAAAATGACGGGTCCTGGCTATTACTCTCACTTATAGAGTTTTCTCACTTATCCAGTTCTCACTTACCCAGGTTTGACTGTAATCGTCACCTTCAAAGAATACGGTTCAAAACCTGCATTAAATAAAGGTTAATAGTTAACCTGTTATTTATCTAAGATGTCGTTCCGAAGAGTTTTGTGACTGCCAATGGAATACAAAGTCAATAATTCGTTTTTCTGATTTACCAATCATTGTCCAAAAGTCAGATTGCCGGCTTTGATAATAGTCGACTCATATCAGCTTCGCCCTAACGTGTAGGTGAGCTCACGGGGCTCAAACCTGACGACGTTGCTAACACGAACCCTAGCAAGAGCAGCGCTTCGCAGAATCTACCACCGGATCGGAAACGCGGCCCACTGAGAAGATCCGGCGAGAAACTCAGTGGGCTGTGTCTGTGGGTTAAAAGGGGATGGTGATATTGAGTTTTGTTATTTTATCCACGTCCAGTTCACAGACATATGAGCCTGTGGTCCAAAGTTAAGGGATTAGCTTAAGAAATTACGTGCTCAATTCACTGAAATAGTTAATGAACATTTTTATCTTTTTTAAAAGCTTTTATTAGTAGCATACCAATAAAAGGATGTTTGTTTTTATTTACCGACCTCAAGACGTCTCATTAACTTGACAATTTTCGCACACACGCCCAAAGATTTAAGCAAATACAACAATTTTATAACTTAGCTCTAACTTTATTTATTTATTTTTTATTGCTTAGGTGTGTGGACGAACTCACAGCCCACCTGATGTTAAGTGCTTACCGGAGCCCACAGACATCTACAACGTAAATATCGTAACCCACCCTGAGATATAAGTTCTAAGGTCTCAGTATAGTTACTGCGGCTGCCCCGCCCTTCAACATGAAACGGATTACTGCTTGACGGCAGAAATAGGCAGGGCGGTGGTACCTACCCGGTCGGACCCACAATACGTCCTACCACCACCTACTACCAACTTTAAGACTTTACGTTATAAATCGTTTATCAAATAACTCAGTTTTAGAGAGTGATAAGTCAGTCGATAAGAGAATACTTGAATATTTATCATTTTAACTCTA